TAATCAAGGCATCTTCATGCCTGACATCATCACACTTGCACCTCTATCATAATAAGGCAATATTAGTAAGATATATTAAAGCGATGCTTACCTTAGTAGTATCGTCTTGCATGCCTGTGGTTCGAAAGTACTACTCCATCCCTCATAGATAGTTGTCTACTTCTTTGACTGCTTTAGTCCTTTTAAACTTTTTAGGCTTGGGAATCTCCATATGGGTCTTAGACATTCTAGCAATCACATCATTCCCAATTGTTGTCTTGCAAGCAACAGGCTCCTTCTTGAGCTCCTCAATCTCTTTGTGCATGGTCTTTATTTGGGCCTCCAAGTTGCATTTCGTTGGGTGATCATGTTGATATCTTTATTCAAAGTCACTTGCAACTCACCTTTGAGCTCCTTTTCAATGGAGTTTAATGCCTCAAAGTGAACATCTATCTCGTTAAGCTTTTCTTTCATATCGTCTACTGTCACATACATCTTGGTCACACACCCATCTAGGGTAGATTAGATATCTCTCGAATTGGCTTTTTTTTTCCCTCCGTGGCCTTGCTCCTAGGCCTCTGGTTGTTGGCTAGCAATATCACTCTGGGATACCATTTTCGCAAAGGCCTTGAGTGCAATTTGAACACCACCGAACAAAACCTGCATTGAGCCTGCCTGATACCAACTGTCACGAGCTCTGACCTCTGACTCAGAATTCATGTGGCCTTAGACCAAGAATATGGTCTTTAGGTCTAAGTCAACCTATGAACTAAGTGTGAGGCAAACAAAAAATTGGAAAGGCAGTTATGCAAATTAGAGAGAACACAGAGAATGCTAAAATATATTGTATATTACTGAAGATAGAATGTGTCTGATGATATATAACTGAGAGTGGGGTGACTTTTTATTTATAGTTGAGGCCTTCAACTTTATTTATAGCTATCTCTTAAAATCAAGGGATCTACAAAATTCTTAAAAATTAGAGATTACACATTATTACACAAATTACATAAGGCTCATCTTGATTCTCAGGATCAACCAAATCCTCTTATTGAATGCTGTCGATTCTGGATGTTTCTAAAAGATTCTGGATCGGCTAGGCTCCCCTGGGTCCACCTGGGTGTAGAGTGGACATGTTACGGGCCTGGCCTTAGTTGTGTGGGCGGGCTTACATGCTATGCAGGTGATCTAGACACTTTTCCCATCCTTATTGCTCTAACCCTTGTAACTGTCCCTAGTGCTGAAGCATTGGCCACAAGTGTTCAAGCTTCAGTGCTTGGTGCATCCGTCCAAGGCGTGACACATATGCATATATACATATATATATATATATAAAATTCTTTCAAGATTCTCACTTTGACTTTTGTTCATTTTATAAAATTACTATTTTATTTTTATTAAAGAGACCTTTCAATCAATTATATAAAATAACAATTTTAATTAAAATTTAAATAAATAATCTAAAAATTCAAATAAAAAATAAAAATCCTAATTTTTATTCACTTTAAACTAGAAAAATATTACCAAAAATTATAAAAATAAGTCTAAAAACAAAAAATTTAAAATTTAAAAGAATTCATCTAAAATATACAAAAGAGCTCTATTTCTGTAGCCAAAGAAAATGAACTAAATTTCATGATAAAAAAATAGTAAAATTACCGCAATAAATAACTTTTTAACTTAAAAATCAAAAATGAAAAAAATGAAAGTTGAAGAGGAATTTTCGGACAGGTTTAGGGAATTTTAAATTAGCTAAAAAACCCATGGTTTCGATATTTGCGAAAAAAGAATCAGATCTTATTAACACATATTTGACCTGGATTCAAATCTGTTTTAAAGATTAAGTTATTTTTGACCCACTGATAACTTAAGGATTTAAATCTAAATTTTATATCAACTTATATATATATGCCCTAATATTCTTTTATATTTATTAATTTTTATTTAAAGGTATAGTTAAATTTATGAAATTGCTTGAAAAATGTTAATTAAAGATTAATAAAAAATAGAATTATTAATTTAATAAGTGAAATAACCTCATGCAATAATAATAAAAATATAATATAATTATTCTCAAATAATTAAAAAAATAATAAAAATTTTATTTAATAAAATATCAACTTCAAATAATTAACAAAAAATTAAAAAAATTATCAATTAATTATTATATTTTAACTGAAAATTTTGAAAATCAAACCATTAAATCAACTAAATACATATATTTTCTATTAAAAAAATAAGTTATTTATATTTTAAGAATAAAAAATTTTAGCCCAAGCGTAGCTGGACACTATATTTATCTCAAAGCGCCACAATTAAAGAAAAAAAAATTGTAGCGGTTGTGGCGGTGAGGCTGCGAAGGAAACTAGCAAGAAGGAGATACTGGGAATCGCAATCCAATCCCAAAATGCCATTGGAGATTGGCATGTATATTGAAATTAAGCAGAAAGAGAGAGAGAGAGAGAGAGAGAGAGAGAGAGAGAGAGAGAGAGAGAGAGAGATACAGAACAAATAAATTGTATCTGCTCGTCACGTTAGCAAACTCAGTCAGGTCCACTCTTTTGTTTTTTTTTTTTTGTTTCTATTTCATTTCATGCAGTCACATGGCTTTGTATATTTCTGGATAACGATCGACTGAATCTGAAGCTGAAATTGTCATGGATGGAATGCTTGCTTGCATTTTTTCGTTTTAACCTGATTATTCCATTCATTTATAAATATTTGTGGTTATATTAATTGGATTTATTGATATAGAGTTTGTATGGTTAATTGAATCGAAAATCTCTCACAATTCGAAATTTTATTTAATTAAAAAAAGCTAATAATTTGAACATGCTTAAGTTGAATCTTAATAGTAAAAGATACATATGAAATTACTCAAATTTTAATAATTGAAATATTAAATTCAAATAATTCAAAAACAAAATGACTCGAATGAAATGATTTAAATTTCAAATAGTAAGAATTTTTTTATTTAAAATTATTTAATCCAAAGTGATTTAATTTATTCAATTGATATCATTAAATATATATTTTATACACTATAATCATTTACATGTTTTCACTTTATTAATAAGCAATTTTCAAAATTTAAAAAATAATCTTAAATGGAAACAACTTCTTGATAATAGGAGAAAATGGTTTCCAACAAATGTTAGGTTTTTGTTATGTATGCTAAATGACATTAGAAAAGCGCTGTCGTAATATAATTATCCACATTCAAACTAATTTCCTTTTAATTTCCACCGGCTTTCTGATGGAGATGAAAAGGAAAAGAAATTCATGCACATAAAAAATACTCTCATCAATTTTCTAATACTCACTCATCTTGTAAGTTGTAGACATATCTATATACGGAGTAATAAAAATTAATTTTATTCCTAATAATGAAATTAATCATCTATCATTTTGACATTCGTAGATAAAAATTTTTTTGGCTCTATAACTGTCGGTGGGCCGGCGTGAATTATTTTTGTGTTTTTACATACGCACGTGATTATTATAATAAATAAATAAATAATAAGAATAATAAAGGCCATTTATTGATGGACGCATATTTCACCATGAGGTTGGTGATGTAAACTACTAACACATGCTGTTCAATTCATGCACTTAATGAATTACTTCAAATATTAAAAAATGCAATATAAGATTTATAAAATATGAAAAAATTACTTATTTATACAACTTAAAAATCTTTATATATATATATGTGTATATATATATATATCTATATAACTATACGCCTCTAACAAAAAGTGCTGAAAATAGTGGGACAAGTCTACAATTTACGAGTTTTTCAATTTCGATTAGCTTCGCATGAAAGCGTAATAAAACGTGACATGGTTTGATTAGAGACTTTCTCACCCTTCCTCACACACGCAAATGCTTTTTGTTGACACTTCCATGAACCCATCAATTGATTCTAAGCAATAACAACAATAAAACTACTACTCATACGACTAACCTTGTGTTTCAACCTCTCCTTCGTGACTGCAAGATTATGTTGAATCAGTTGCAATAGAACAAGATTTCACATGTCTCCCGTGAAGCCAATCAATGCATCGATGCCCTGGCAAGCAAAGGTGGTGGCTATAAAACCAACAAAGAAGACTTTTGTAATGTTAGCACTAGTGCTGACATCTGCTGTGCTCTGACATCAGCAATCCTTATTTTATAACCCATTTTGAACTTTCTAACTTTCTGCAGCTGTTACTGTTGGCTGACTGTGTTAGATCTATTTTGTACGGTTCTTTTTTTTATAATGATAAGTTTATTCTTTATTGACCAAAAAAATCGTGTTTTAAAATTTACAAGAAATAAAAATGTTATTATATATTTTTTAAATTATTATATTAATCTATTAAATATTTTAAATATACTCTTTTAAGATATATATGATAATTTTTAATTTTAATGATGAAATTTAAAGATGTCTTAAATAAATTTTCATAAAAATAAAACAATACAAATTTTTTTGAAATAATTTAAAGGTGTATGGAATAATTAAAACTCAAACATTAATATATGCAAGTAATAATAAAATTAATTAAAAAAGTGATCAAATTTGAATATTTGAAGTTTTCTCGATTCTTAATTGGCAATAATTTATAAATTTTTAAAACTTAATTTCATCCCGGAAACCTTTTTAGTTTAACCTTATATATAGTTTCACAAATTAATATTCAAAAATAAAGAATGTAATCAAAATATTTTCGCTGCCTCCTTCAAATGTACAATACCCTAAAAAATATACAAATTTGATTGATTTAAATTACTCGGTGCTTCCAACTTTCCTTGACTAATATTATATCCCGCGAAATGAACCGCGACACGTGGGTGGTTGCAATTGGTCTTCACGTCACCCCTCTCTGACAAAACAGTTAAAACTTAAAAAAAAAAAATCTACCCTAAAACCTAACTAATAAAAAAATATAATAAATACTCCAAGTCTCCACTGATAAAAAGACAAAAATACCCCAATCCACTTTCGCTAAATACCTTGAAAAAGCAGTCTAACTCCTACGCCAAACTCAGTCCCTACCCATTTTCAGTTCAAACTTCCCTCCACTTTCTTCTTTATCTATTCCGTTTCGGAAGCAAAAAAAGAAAAAAGGAAAAACAAATTAAACCTTTTTGTGATTGTTCAGAATGTCAATAATTGAGTTAAACTTGGTGTATTTTCATGTTGTTTTGTTAAAGATTTAAGGAAAAAGTTTCGGTCTCTGGATTCAACTACGATGCCAGAGATTGAAGACACAGCCAGCTCCAGCACAACCGGTGAGTTGTCGGAAATTGCATCGGAGATCACCCTCTTCGGAAAGTACGAGATTGGCAAGTTGCTGGGATGTGGGGCCTTTGCAAAAGTTTACCACGCGCGCAACGTAAGGACGGGGCAGAGCGTCGCCCTCAAAGCCGTGAGCAAACAAAAAGTACTCAAAGAAGGGTTCATGGTGCAGGTTAAGAGAGAAATTGCTATCATGCGCCGGTTGCACCACCCTAACATCGTCAAACTTATCGAGGTGTTGGCTACCAAAACTAAGATTTACTTCGTCATGGAATTCGCCAAAGGAGGGGAGCTGTTCACGAGGATTGCCAGGGGACGTTTCAGTGAAGATCTCAGCCGTCGGTATTTCCAACAGTTGATTTCAGCCGTCGGATTCTGTCATTCGAGGGGCGTGTTCCACCGCGATTTGAAACCGGAAAATCTCCTCCTTGATGAAAGCTGGAACTTAAAAGTATCAGATTTCGGACTTAGCGCGGTGGCGGATCAGATCCGACCCGACGGCCTTCTCCATACTTTATGCGGAACCCCAGCTTACGTGGCGCCTGAGATTCTTGCGAAGAAAGGATACGATGGTGCCAAAGTCGATGTGTGGTCATGTGGCATCGTTTTGTACGTTCTCCACGCTGGATATCTGCCGTTCAACGACCCCAATCTGATGGTTATGTACCGTAAGATTTATAAAGGCGAATTCCGTTTCCCGAAATGGACATCTCCTGATCTCCGGCGATTTTTATGTCGGCTTCTCGATACTAATCCTGAAACTAGGATCACCGTCGATGAAATCATCAGTGATCCTTGGTTCAAGAAAGGTTACAAAGAAATCAAATTTCGTGCCGAAGATTTTGAATTGAAAGAAGAAACCCAGAGCACCAAGTGCTTAAACGCCTTCCATATAATCTCTTTTTCATCCGGTTTCGACCTCTCCGGTTTGTTCAGCGAGGCGGAGTTTTCTGTCCGAAGAGAGCGGTTTATATCGGGGGAGAAACCGGAGAGAATTTTAGATAGAATCGAGGAAGAGGTGGGAAGAATAGAGAATGTGAAGGTGAAAAAGAGAAAAGAGAAAGGGATAAGGTTGGAAGGGCAGAATAATAATTTTATTCTTGCCGTAGATATTCAGCAGTTGACGGAAAATCTGGTAGTGGTGGAGGTGGGGCGGTGGGAGATTAACGTTGGGGCAAGTGGTGAAATTTGGAAAAATAAGTTAAGGCCAAAACTTTCCGATTTGGTATATAAAACTGAAGCAGAGCAGGTTTCTGGGTAATAATAGAGGATTCATGGCAGAGCTGAGAACCGTTCGGAAAGAGTCGTGGTATCGACTGCTGTAAATATATCCATATTCAGCCCAAAGGAAAGAGAAAAAAGAAAAAAACTTCCGTATGTTAGTCTCAAATAATGTCTTGTCTAGTTTGTTCGACAAACCGGAGCAAAGCGAAATTCACTAACCGGGTTTCCTTCGTTTTTTTTTTTTTTTTTTGAAATAAAATGATTTCATTACTCAAACTTAATTACAATCCATATGTAATGTGACAACTATTACAAGAGGGAAATCCCCCATCTAGTACTTATTTAGACTATGTTGTGCAAGCAGGTGAGCTGCTCTATTACCTGTTCGTCCCACATGCAGTATTTGGTAGCTGTCAAACTTGGCCATCCTACATCTAGCTTCATCTGTAATAGTGCCTATAGGGCAAAGATCATCCTCTATCATCTCGAGCTTCTTGATTATAGCCAAATAGTCTCCTTCAACCAGTATTTTCGTAAAACCTGTATCCTGGGCAAATTGTATGGCAAGCACCACAGCTTTAGCCTCAGCTTGAAACGGATCACCAACAGGTTCAAGCCTGATTGCTGTAGCCCCTAAAACTGCTCCTCGGTGATCTCTGATGATAATATCTACCCCCTTTTCTCTCCTGCAGATTAAAGGATCCATCAAAATTGACTTTGAAAAAACTTTCCCTCGGCTGGGACCATTGATGATTTATATTTTGTTTTCGCCCTTTCTCTAACTGTCCTTTTTCATATTTTGTTGCATATTGTTGAATGAAACTAACGGTAGCGTGTGGTGGCTTTCTCTTTTCCCCTTGTTTCTCCTTGTTTTCTGCACCTCATATTCCCCACATAGATGTCATGAACACTCCCAATTGACCTTCGTTCAAGTTGTTGCTAACATTCGAAATCCAATCTTTAATCTTTGTGAAATTGTTGCAAGTGTTCTGGTACATATGAAACTGTCTTAGATCTCTGCGGCATGAGAGCACTGTGATAATGCATGTATCACCGATTCTTCCCTTTCACCACATCGTATGCACGTACTACTCACAGTAAGTCCCCTATGGCTTAAATTGTATATTGTTGGGAGGGCATTATTGCATGCTCTCTAGATCATCATTTAGATTTTTGGATGTATGTTTGCCCTCCATATAATCCACCAATCCATTTTTGGTCTTCGCTGCACCATATCACTTTCCATCCTTCTTTGTTGCCTCTCATCCCTTAGCATTTTATAAGCACTTTTGACAATATACATACCATTGTTGTCATGACGCCATATTAGTGTATCTGGCCTGCCCATGTTGCTGATTGGAATCGCACAAATCATTTCTGTTTCATCTGACGTGAAGATTTCATGAATGAGTCCCACGTTCCATTTCAATCCTTGATGGACCATTAGGTCTTCCACCATTTTTATCCCCCGTTCATCCCCCCTTAGTGATCGCACTTTAAAAGGCCGACTCGTTGGTAACCAGCTATCATCCCAAATGTTGATGCTCCTGCCATTTCCCATTCTCCACCATAAGCCTTTGTGCAATACTTCTCTAGCCATCCATATACTTCTCCATGTGAGAGAAGGCTTGTTTCCTAACTGGCGCCCATGAACGTTGAATTGGGATAGCATCTCGCTTTTAAGACCTGATTAACTAGTGTATTCGGTTTGAAAATGAGCCTCCATTCCTGCTTTCCCACCAAAGCCATATTATATTAAAGGCCTCCATCTCCTTGAAGCTCGAACCACCCGTTGATTTTGGTAAGCAAAGGTCTTCCCATTTAAGCCAGTCTATACCTCTTCCATTGAATCCTTGTCTCCACCAATAACTCCCAATTATGCTATTGATTTCCTTACACACTTTTCTTGGCAGCAGAAAACAATTCATCACATTGGAAGGGACTGCTTGCAAAACAAATTTAATGAATTTCTCTTTCCCACCTTATGACGAACATCTGTTGCTCCATCCCTCTATCTTTGCTTTAATCTTCAATTTGATCTCCTTAAAAGCTCTTGATTTGATCCTTCCCACCATGATTGGTAATCCTAAGTATTTTTCTAGATTAGTTGCGTTTTCCACCCCAAATAGTGTTTTGAGACTCTCTCTCTTATCTTGTTCCGTGTTTGTACTAAAAAGTAGTGCTGATTTGTCGAAATTAACCTGTTGTCCAGAGCCCTCTTCATATTTCTACAGCATACGCTTCACCTTCTCTCCCCCACTTAATGTTGCCTTGGCGAACAATAAGCTGTCGTCTGCGAAAAAAGGGTGAGTCACTTTAGGCCCAGTTCGACCGGCTTGAACACCTTCAGTGGAGCCCTCCCTCTAAGCTTGAGCTAATAAAGATGACAGACCTTTACTGCGTAATAGAAACAAATACGGGGACAGGGTTCCTTGTCGTAGACGTCTTCCTGGCCAAAATTTGTTAGAGATACCATCATTCATAACAATTGAGTAAGAAATAGTAGTGATGTACTGCATGACGAGGTAAATCCATCTAGCTCTAAATCCTATTTGATTCATTACTTTCTCCAAAAAGTCCCATTCAACTCTATTGTAAGCTTTACTCATATCAAGCTTTAAAGTAAAAAAAAAAAACATTTTCGACCGTCTTTCTTGTTTTTTAGGGAGTGAAAGAGTTGATGAGCTACCAGAATATTATCACTGATCAAATGCCCAGGGACAAAAACACTTTGAGACTTGCTAATACAATCTGGCAGCACACATTTGAGCCTATTTGCTAAGACTTTAGTAGTGATCTTATATAACACATTACACAAACTAATTGGCCTATATTGTGCTATTCTCCTAGGGTCTGTCAATTTTGGTATCAATACTATGTTGGTATGGTTAATATCAGACAAGTTACCGACCCCATTAAGAAACGAAAGTCAAAACTGTGTAGCATCCTCTCCAACTATATGCCAAAATTGCTGATAAAATAACGCAGACATACCATCCGGACTAGGAGCTTTTGATGGATGTATTTGTTCGACGGCTATCTAGATCTCCTCAGCTGTAAACTCCCTCAGTAAAAGTTCGTTCATTTCATCAGAGACCCGGGCTCCTATAGTTTCAAGAATTTCCTTCGAGTTTTCACGCCCTTGAGCCTTAAATAAGTCTCGAAAGTAGTTAGTGGCAATTTCTATGACTTTCCCTCACCATCACACCAATTACCGCTGCAATCTTCTAACCAATGAATTTTATTGTACAGTCTACGAAAGTTGGTCCGTGCATGAAAAAATGCAATGTTGGGATCTCATGCCCTTAACCACTCAACCCGTGACCTCTGTGCCCAAAAAACTTCTTCGCGCTCCATGGCCTGGTTTACCTCCTCTCGAGACTTGTGTATCTTGTTGGCTTGGTTTTTGTTCCTAGAGCACTTGTAGTTCTCTGTTAAGGTGCTTAACTTTCAGTTGCAATTATGGGTGTAAATGGGGAAGTTTAAGCCGTTATAATATTAAGCTCAAACTAGAGCTCAATTTAAAATTTGAAATTCAAAACTTGATTTGAATTCGATCGAATTTTATTGTTTTAATTCGAGTTCGATTCGAGATAGAAATTGAATTACTTGAGTTTACTTGATTAAGCTTGATTAATATGTAAAAATAAGTTTAATTTTTATATTCAATAAAAATTAAATTATTTATGCTCAAACTTAAACTCGAATTTGAAATATTTTATTAATTAAAATAATAAAAATATATCAAAATATAAAAGTTCGATTAAGTTAGTGAGCTACTCGAACCAAATATAAGAATGTTCAAATTTGATTTAATTGATAAGTCGAATTACTCGAGCTCGAACTACACTCGATAATAACTGAGCATATTTGATTTTTATTCAAATCGAATCCGAGTAACTTACAAGTATTAATGTATCATTTACACCCTTGATTGTAACCCATTAAAATATTCATTGTGCCACACCGCTAGCTTCTAAATCGCATGTTCCACCTTTTTGTGAAGCTGCTTGACTGCACTTTCGTCCTATGCACCTTGTATCACGCCCTCACATTCCTGTTTTCAAATCTGCTTCTCCCATTTCCTGTCCTTCTATTCACCATTTGATTATGATTTGTTCTAATTAAAATGGGAATGTGGTCTGACACTGCCCATACCATGTGTGTGACCGAATATTGTGGAAACATCAAACCCCATGCACGATTCGCAACTCCTTTGTCCAGCCATTCCCGAGCATTATTCTCCGGCCTGTTTCCTCTCTCCCACGTGTACCATTGACCTTTATAACCCAGATCCTCGAGGCCTACCTTGTTCAACACAGTTCAGAAATCCTCCATTTGCTTTTCAGGTCTTAGACAATTTTCTAACTTCTCACCTGACCACATAATCTCATTGAAATCCCCCATCACCATACATGGCATTGTGTGTTGTGTAGCCAATCTCCTTAAAAGATCACATGAAAATTTCCTGAACCTTGTTTCGGGGTCGCCGAAAACCCAGTTAATCTCCATTTTTTTGTGTTTTCGATGATTTGCATTTCCATGTCAATGTGCCTCGTCAAGTAGTTCAACACTTTTAAATCTGTTTCCTCGTTCCATAATATAGCTAGCCCTTCACTTGCTCCGTTGGCGTCTACACAGAAACAAAATTTCATCCTACGCTTCTTTTTAATTTGTTCCATCTTATTCACATGTAGTTTCGTCTCCATAAAAAAACCTACTTGTGGATCTTCCATTTTCAGCAATTACGGAAAAGATCAAACTGCTCCGGTTCCCAAGCCCACAGCAGCCCATGGCTTAATGGCTCTCATCAAGGATTTAAATTGCAGTAGCAGTCTCGTTTTTTATCGTGTTTATTTATAACGGTTATAGACGTAACGGTTGTTATTATGATCATTGTGTTCATCGCGGTCATGAATTTTTTTCAATTTAGTACAATTTATTTTAAAAATAGCAATTTTAATTATAATCATAAATTTTTTTTAATAATTTATAAAGTAATTTTATGACTTTTTTTATTTATATGAGAAATATAATATTCATAATTTTTTGTTGGGTTCTTCATACTCCAAACAGCTTTACATTTATTTAGTTATTAATAATGTATCTCTTTATTTATAAATATTTTATATTTATGAATTAAAAATAAACAAATTGCAAATAAAAATCTAAAAAGTATAAAAATTATATTCAATTAAGTTTTGATACTAAGACCTATAACTATAAATCCAACAATCCTAAAAACCAA